GCTCACCAGCCGGCCAACCAGTGCCAAACCTTCCCAGCCTGAACGGAGAAGAGATCACCATTAAAAAACACCAGCAACTGTGAAAGAGTTTTTGTTCTAGACAGACTCAAAAGATCCAACGCTTTTTCCCTACACTAAACCAAACCAAGGTGTTGCCCGTACCCCTTCTAACCCTAATCCAAATGTAATTCCCTTTGAAGGGAAAGGGTGAAAAAGATCCACGTCCTACGTGTTGTCTGTCCGAATACAGAAAGAAACCTCTTGACTTGAAGAGAGAAACCATCAGAACAGAGAAAGTGGCTGTACGGCTTTGCCAGACTGCCGAGCACCCTCCCCGTGCAGCCATCCTTAGCTAGCAGGGCGAAAGAAATAATATATAAATCAAGGCCCTTTCATTCCTTGTTTCTCATTCTGCCAAATTCCCTTTTCCAGTAGCTCATCTGCATGCATTCTGGCCATAGAGACCACAATTAATTCTTTTTTTTTTTTTTGTCTCCTTTAAAAAATACAAGAACTAAGAACTTGAACAACAACGTGATCGGTTACAAGTCTTTCCTTGCTGAAAGGGACAAGTGTGTGCCTGCGTGTATGTGTGTGTGTGCACACACGTGTGTCAGAAGAGGGCACGTTCCCAGCCGTGCCGGGGAGCGTGCCATTGCTCCGATGGCACGGCCGCTGAGCGCTGCTACAGCCCACCAGGAAAAGAGGAAAGGGCACTACACACAAATAGCTTATCGGCTGAGAGTCTCTGTCCAGGAAGGGCTGCACGCACAGCCTGCGGACGGCCCACGGCTGGACTCTGCCTAGATCCTCCTTGGCACTTCAGCTGCCAGAAGAACCTGTAAGGGGGAGCTGAAAGGGACCAACATCTCTGCCACGCGCGGCAAGGAAAAAAAGAGGCAGCTGAAGTGTCCCAACAACTGCAGAAACCAAACCCAAAGAAGAGCAGTTGAAAGATCAACCAGAAAACAGTTTGAAGCCTTGTCAGAAGAGTTCGCTCGCCATGGAGCTGCTGTGGCTAATGCAGCAGAAGACGCCCATTCTGCCTTTGAAGGCAGAGATGGTGGCTTCTCCCCAGCCCCAAAAGGGACCAGCTCAGGCATAGATCCCTCGTGACTGACAAAGCAAGAAAGGCCAACCAACACCAATTCCCTTACTGGCCCAGGCCAAGAAAGGCAACTGTTAATCACCACCACATCGGAGAGACCACTGCAGTCAACTGCATCCTGCTCTGGCCCAGGGGAGGGCTACCAGATAACCAGATTCTTTTCACAGTCCAAGAAGGGCAGTGCCCTTCCTGAGCCAAAAAAAAAACAAAACCAAAAAAAAGAAAAAAAAAAAAGAGGCTTTGTATTCCAAGCTCCAACAGTGACTATTTGCTGAATCAGTCCAGCAAACAGGGATTACGCTCCTGGAACAGCAAGTAGAAGCCTCCTCCAGGTAAAATCTGGAACCTCTAAAGTGCTCCTGCTAATGCTAATCGATGAACACTGCCCTTCCATGCCCAGCAGTGGAAGGGTGTAATGCAGTTAGTGGTATAACAAGCACTAGCATTTAACCATTTATCAACTCCCATCTGGATTGTGGTAGTTTTCTGAAATGCACTTTTGGGAGATATTTCCTATGAGAAGAGGACGTTTGGGGATTTGAGGGTAGGAAGGTGAAGTGCACACCACAGCATACCTTGTTGAGTCAAACCGTTGCCTTGAAAGGTGATGTTCCCTTGCAGAGTCAATGGAATAAAGCATCCTGCAAGTGGCCATTTCACCGTGTCACCAACAAGCAGCTCTGGGTTTGGTTAGAATGGTTTCCCCCTCCCCCAGTGGTTTGAAGAGTTCACAGTGGTATTACCCAACGTTTTGGGGAGACAGAAGCTGAGAAGTCCCCTGCTGCAAGTGAACGGGTGGAGTGAGGGGTGAGGATGAGCAACATCCCTTAGGACTCAGGATAAGCCCAAGAGACACCTTTGCATCTGATGAGGAACAGGGGGAAGGCAGGCACTGGAAGAAGGGGGAAGGGTAATGCCAACGCAGGGAAAGTGCATGATCTGGAGTGGTCTCGGAGTAGTTCTGCAGTGCAAACGTCTGGGGAGGGGCATGGAGAAATCCCTTCTGGAATGCTGCATGAAGAGAGGTAAAGGTTGGCATCCATGTGGCAGCGGACTGGGTAGGGGGCCTGTTTCCAGCAGCTCTACCCTGTTCTTCACATTTAGTGGGTTTCAATCACCACTGGCTCGTAAACTCCAGATGAGACCCTGGGGAGGCAGAGGGGAAGGAGATGAGAACGCCAGGCTATTTCTCCCCGTCACTTAGAGCAAGCAAGTAAGTTCTTATTCAGAGCTCTCCACTCACAAAGTTTCTCTCCGTCACTTAGAGCAAGCAAGTTCTTATTCAGAGCTCTCCACTCACAAACATCACCCTCTAACCCCACACAAAATAACTGAAAATAGCGAGTCAGTCTGGCCAGAAGTCAACCCTCGTAACACAAACCAGACAGCTACGTGGCAAGCTAACACTAGAGCTCTTGAAAGAGCTGGGTGTAACACGTGAATCCTTCTAAAGGACAGAGGAAAGGGGGAGTCTCCTCAGCAAAGAGCCAGTGTTCCTGCCTTTGCTTTGCACACAAATTTTGTCACCAACTCGACACATATTTGCATTACCATTATTGCCTTTTTTTTTTTTAACCTCAAAAAGTGCTAAAAAGGCTCAAGCGCTACCGCACTGAGAGCTATTGTGGCAACAAAAAAAAAAAAAGTTTTATTTGTTCAGGCGTCTTTCATGAGACAACAAGCCCTTGACAAAGGAGGAGGAGGAGGGGGCGGTGGCAGGGGAAAGGGACAATAACCCCGGCTGCTGCAGTTTTGCTGCAGGCCAGCAGGAGGCAGAGCTCCCCGCCTTCCGCCGGGAGCAGCAGCAAACGGGAATAAAACCTCTACCATTTTGTCCTTTTTTTGCTCCTTCCTTCTGTTCTTGGATCTAACAACTAGGATCACATTATCCCTCTGTGCTCCTGCTGAGAGCTGCATTCATACTCCAGTGCAGCTGTAGCCTGTCACCGGAGGGATCCCAGGGGTGTTAATGTGGGAATAAAGCCACCGTGTAGCACATGATGTTTAGAAATCTCTCCTGTAGCGAAAGGTGAAAGTTTCCCCGTGTACAAAGAGCTAACTCATCTCCCCGGAGAGCCTCTGGCTGCCAGCCTTTCAGGAAGCCTACCTGTTTCCCAGCTGAATACCACTCAGCGTAGTTGTTCCATCTCTGCTCACAAACAACCTCAGGTTACTGTCTGCAGATAGAAAAAGGAAGCGAGAGATCAAAATCCCGAACTACCCACGGCTGCCAGGTGCTCCCCTCCCTTACACAACGGCCAGCACGGGAACAAGAGCATTTCTGGGAATGCATGTGCATGTTCTCTGATGCTCCCACAGTAATAGAGCCCCTGGGAACTCCTCCTCTTGCTCTGAAAGGGAGCCTCACGTCCAAATCAACCACAGCATTAAGCTCTGGATGAGTAAACGTAGATAAATTAATTCATAATACTGCTCCAGCTGCTTCTTTTAAGTCAATTCCATTGATGGAAGTTCTTGGTCAGCTTGAACACATCCAAATGGATGAGATGTGGGGCTTCATGCTGCTTTTGTAGGCTCACGGGAGGAGAAAGTCAGCCTGTGCTGCTGGTGAGAGGTGGGTACATTCAGCCTAGTCTTAACCCAGCGAGGTGGAAATCCTCATATAAGAATCACAGAATCAAGAATGTTGCCATATGCAATGCTATGGTGTAACTAACTATAGAAGTACTAATAAAAGCTAGGCTCAGGGATAAAACTTACGGAAAAACCAACCAGATGAAAAAGACCAATTTCTAGGCTAAACGGGGAAGTTAAAACACATGCAGTGATATTAGTTTTCTCTTAACAGATGGAGGAAAAAAACCCCTTCTTAGGCTCTCAGACAGACCTGATCACCAGCAGACTGTGACCCACCTTTCTTCCCACCTTTTAGCAGAGTCGTGCTGTTTCCCCTCCAGTTGTGCTCTCCTACTTCAATCAACACCCTTGGGCTGACCCTGGATGAAGGCCACCAGAGCAGCGCAGAGCTGATGGAACTGATTTCCACTGCACTGAAAAATGGGTATTTTTCCCTTCTCATCCTGTATGCTTGAGCCACTGTTCAACCTCTGCTGTCTCTCATCCTGTATTATGCTTGAGCCACTGTTCAACCTCTGCTGTCACGTGTAGAACAGCAGCGAGTGCTATTTGCTAATGGATGTGCAGCTCAAATCCACAGTGTGTTTACCTACCACAGAAACACCTAGCAAGCACTGAAAACAAACTGCTGCCAGAAGGAGAAGGGAGTCCGTGACAGACCAGATCTGACTTTAAAAGCTTGGCAGCTTTGCTAAAAGAACAGCCAAGGCCTCCCCTCTGAGACTCATGCTCTCACCTTCAGTATTGCTGACATCTGTGAAGTCCTGACTCTGCATTATTTTCTCCACTATATCATCAGCATCGATCCTGGTGTCATCCACTCGGGTTGGGTGACTCTCCACTGAATCCTTTTTCCTCCTGGGGAGAGAAAATAAAGGGAAAACTTATTCAGCTTTTCAAGACACAGACTTTTCAGGTACTCTCTTGCTTCCCTTGGCAGCAGCCTCCCTCTCAGCCGCTACTTCCAATCTACCACTGCATGAAGACCAAGGAGTAGATTCTCTCTTGTGTTCCCACAGAAGGCACTTTGCTCCTCAGTTACCTACCGGGAGGGTCTATCCATCAGAAGGGCTGGTCTTGGGGGGCGAGGTGGCTTCTCTGGTTTGTGGTCCCGCTCTCCCTCAGGACACTCCACTGTCATACTGAGCCCTCCAGATGCACTGCTGCTGGTGGAGGTATTCCTGCGATGGGTCAGGTCGGACATACTAGAAGAACGGGAGTGCTCCGTGCTGTAACCTGCAAAAACAGAGTGATCACAAACCAGATCTTCTCCCCTTCCTAGAAGCAAAGTTAACACGCAAAGCAGTGTCAGACCAGCATTTCTGCTCCCATATACAGAGGTTTAGACATGCATCTGCAGAGACTGAACAGGAGACTGATATCTCAGTCAGGTGAGAGATTGCTGCACAAATCACTCTCACAAGAGCTTGTTGCAGGAAAGAAAAAGGGATGGAGGCCAGTGCTGGCATAGCCACGTGGGTCGATGCTTACCGGAGATCTTGGACTGCTGGCTGGCATAGCTGGAGTTCCGCGAGTGACCCGAGTGGAAAACTTCCTCTGGGCTGGACAGGTTCTGATCCGGTTCTTCTGGGACACCTGCCAAGGAACAACAGGGCACTCCACTTACACTGTAAGCCAAGACAGCACATTGTCTGCTGATCACCTTGGACTGGAGGCTGATCTCAGGATGCCAGATGAAGGCAAGGGCAAGTCTGCTGGCGAGCCGTGCTGCACAGGCAAGCAGAGCTTAGAAGCAGCTAGGGAGTAGGGGAGACAACAATGAGCTTCTCTGTCAAGCTTTTCACTAATGCTAGCATTCAGCACCTGCATTTACAAGCGTCTCTGGGGGCTTGAAGGATCTAGGACAGGTAGTATCTGAAGCTATCTGTACTTCAAAGCATTAAGCTAAGACCAAGAAAGCATCAAATGGCCACTGGCAATGAAGTATTACAACCTCCGTTTGGGTGCCTCTCTTATTACTACTTTTTCCCTTCTATTACTTGTAAGAGAGCTCATGCCATCTAAATCACATCCAAATTTGATACAGAAACCTCAGCACAACCTCTGCTCCTTTGCTGTCACCCCACCTCGCCTCTTTTGCAGCAAACTCATCCAAAAGTGCACAAAGGTAACACATTAGCCAGCTTTTTAAGAAGAGCACTTGTGTGCTGTGCGAAGTCACCGAGGCGATGAGACTGGAGCGCTCTTTTGGTGCAGTGCATCTGCTGGCACATTTGGAGTGTGCTGGGGAGAATAAAAGACTATGGGAAAATGCAGTGCCCTTGAAAACGGGCACATACAGGAGCCAAAGAACTCCGCATCAGCAGCTGGAACAAGGCCATTAGACCTCAAACCAACCTCTAAAACCTTCAGAGGAACTTTTCTAGAAGATAAGTGTGAGCAACAGAATAGCTGAGTGGAGACAATGTTGAGTGTCGTTGAACACAACGGAAAGTAGGGATGAGTGCAATACATTAATTATTAAATCCCCAGTAATAAGAACAAATTGCTTTATCTCCACTAACAGAGGCACATGGCAAAGATTCACGCTTCCTCTCCTCAGCTGCACTTAATAGACAGTTTTGGTTTTCCTTAATTTTCTTAATGAGCAGAAGGGTGAGGATGGGTACGGGAAAACATGAAAAATTAAAGAGTTTCTGTGCTTGCAACTGCTGGGAAAAACAAAAGAGTGTCCGGGCACAGCCAAGCATTGCATGGCTCCAGGATGGGCATTCATACCCGAGCTGAGAATGGCAGTTCTTGGCTTGGTCTGACGCAGAGAGCCAATCGTGGCTGAACTGCTGCTGCTGCTGCTGGTGGTTCCCTCACCCTTACAGGTCAGCTGCAGGGTAGAGTCCTGTCCCGGTATGGTGATGGATTTGGCGGTGGAAGGAGGCCTGTAATCAGAAGTGGAGAAGGTTAAAAAAACTGCCAGGCAGGGACCAGGAATCACCCCACCACAATGCTCTATCAGAAAGGTCCCCCTGCCTGCCCCTACCCTTCATGGGGAAGCTGGCAGCCTTCTGTGACTAGTGACACAGTGTGACATTGGGTTTTGTTTCCTACATGCCAGACTCAGGTCTTCCCTACCTCGTACTGCACCTGGACAATATTACAAGGAAAAGCAAGGGGAATTAAGGCAAAAGGGGACCATTCAACCATTTATACAGGACAACATGCTTGGAGCCTGCACTGTCCTCCAAAAGAACATCCAGAGCTGTCCTTTTCCCCCAAACACGTGTCCAGTGGCCAGTTGGCCTCACAAACAGGAACTGGTTTGCTGTTGTCTAGCTCTACATTCCAGCACCCTTTCGTTACACCTTTCTGGCTCAGGTCAAAAGAAACCTTTTATCTCAGCAACCCCCCATCCCCCTATAAGAGTACTTTTACAACGATCAAATAACCTTTCCCTTTTTTAACTGACGATTAAACTCCTTTTTGGTGAGACTAAAGTGTTTTTCCAGCTGTCAAAGTTATTTATCTGGTTATTCTGTGTGCTCCCAACATCCCTTTGTAAATGCTGACTGCAGGGCAGAGCAGCGAGTGCCCGGAGCCCCCTCCCTTCCTCCAGAAGTGTTTTTGGGTGGAAGCCATGGCATGTGCAGCGTGGCAAAGCGAATATTCCTGTTGGAATCCCAACCTCCCTGCAGCCCGAAGTCTGAACTGGAACTAATGGATCATATTATGCTTTTTAAGTGAGGAGTGAGAAAGAAAAACTTTTATTTGTCTCACTTGGAGCTTTGAGGGAAGATGCTACCTGAGAGGACCTTTGCGGTATTTTAGGAGAAAGAAACATAAAGTGCTTAGAATATTTGATATGGGCAGCCAAACAGCCATAAAGGTTTCAGGAAACCCGTAGCATGCCTTCCCCAGGTCATGTTATCAGTGATTTACATGCACCCGGGTACTCTGGGGACTTTGCTTTGCAGGTTAATAAGGCCTTTACAGCCTTAATCAAGCAAACTGTTCCCGCAGCAGCTGTGGGAGCAGCCCCTGGGTCTGGCAGCTCTGCCCTCCTGATGACACCCGGGAGGAGAAGGTTCATCCGAGCGCTGCAGAAAGTCACTGCTCGGAAGTGATTTCCCAGCACAGTTTAATTCCTGCCTAATCCCTTAATGAGTGCCATTTCTCAAAAGCTCCACTGATCAAGGCGTGTTCTACAGGCAAAGCTTCCATTTTTAGACATTTGCACATCAACATATAAAGAAAAAAATGGGAACGACTGCAAAAATCCTTTAAGAAATTTGTGAGGTTTGACTTTCAGACTGACCCTACTTATATTAAATGGATATACATATTCAATTCCATATAATTTTCAGGCACTCTATCAGTGGGACATGCTTCCATATTGAAGGAGCGACAGGTATTTTTTGTCAGACATATTATTGCCAGACACCCTAGTTCCTTAGATTTAAAACATCTGTTACTGTTACAAAGTTATGGTTTAAGATATCCAAAACTTCTTTATTACACTTCCTTCTGAAGCAGAAATTTTTCAGAATCAGATGACGCTGCATTTAGGGTTTGAAAGTCTCAGAAAACGCTGCAGCGCCACGAAAAGCCATTCACAAAACAAACCAAACAGAAAATTATGCAGCATTTTATAACAAGAATGCAAGCTCATTTATACACTTTAAGCAAGCTCCTAAAATTAAACCTTTTAGCCTAGAATAGCACTACAGCAAGAGATGGCCTCAAGGTGAAGCTTTCCCCTCTCATAGTGTTGGGAGTCAAGCCAGAATATTGGTATCAGCACGTGGCAGCCCCGTGGAGTCCCACACCACACAGCACACCACAGTGGGCTGGCTCCGACTGCAGGGTCTTAACTGCAGTGGGAAGGTGCATATTTATTGCTGGTCTATTTGTTAAGTTGATTCCCCAACCATTCTTTAAGCAACAAAACTGCTTCAGAGCTGAACCGTACTTATTCTTTCCTATCACAATGCATTAAAAAGAACTACACGATTACAATTTCTTTGCCAATTAATACAAATCGTGAGCCTTGCTCCCTGTAGAACAGAAGGAGAACTAAGATGTTTCAGCCTTGCAGTGTTTTTGTTGCTGTTTCAGTTCAAGATTTACCCTGTGTGAGATGTGCTGAAGTGTGCCTGTTTCAAAGACTGTTTTATCCATTGACCTTTCTCTTCTCGCAGGTCAGTGAAACCACCCACAGAGCTATGAAAAATTCTATCCTTCAAGGAAAACATGAAGTTTGTTATCAAGGCCCATTAGTTCCAAACCTAACTAAAACTAGCAGAGAAAACACTGGCACAACCCATAACCAAGCTGAGGAAACCAGGGCAGAGAACAAACCAACCAACAGCACAGGATGGCTCAGCTCTTCTGGCCGATTCTGCAATCCAGACCACCACTTCCAAGCTCTCCCCTGTACTTCCCAACATCAAGGGCATCTTTTCCCCCTCCCCATCAATTTTAGTCTCCAGCAGAGAATGGCAAAAGAACCAGGTGTCCTGATCTGCCCAGAACAAGGCAAACACCCAGAAACTCACGTTTTGAAGCAGGGGTCCCCCGAGAGCAGGGACATTCCGATGGTGACCTGGAGAGGGAGGACAAGGCACTTCGTTAGCCACGCTGCAGTGAGCTCCTCGCCTCATGACAGCCAGGAGGTCAAGGGCTAGGTGTAAAGATTAGCAAGACCTAGTTCCTTTCCAAAGGAAATCAGCTTCAGGGATTTAGCAAAGTATTTCCCTCCCTGCCCCAAATCACTGGCATCGGTAACTCCAAGTTGCAGTGTCTCAGCAGGACACCGGCCCGGCCACCCTGACAACGTGCTTAGAACTTTCTTCCCCCCTCCTGTTCACGTTTTCTTTGATGATAAAGAATGCTATTGAGGGTCATCTCTCGGCCAAATGGATGTCAAGATATCAAAGGGCAACTCTGATAATAGGAAACTTCCCAGACTAGCAGCGTAAAAGCAAAACCCTGTCTCTGTACCCACACTCTGGCTGTCATCTTTCTGAACTCAATAGCAGGATTTCCACGGTGGCAGTCCCAGCTGCTGTACCTTTAGGATGGAGTTGTCCTGTCGGGTGTTCTTAGTATCATAGCCTTCCAGCAAGCAGCAACGGACAGTGGATCCAGAGCCCGCAAATTCTGCCAGATTTAGGTCAGCAAAGCCCAGCTGTAGCCAAGAAAACAATGGAGGGGAAGGGGAGAGAACAAAAAAAAAAAAAAAAAAAATCACTCAATAAAGGGATACGTGGTGTCACACAGACCAGAGGAAGAGAGTACATCTGTGAACGAGGGCAGTATCACTCAATAAAGGGATACATGGTGTCACACAGACCAAAGGAAGAGAGTACATCTGTGAACGAGGGCAGAAAGAGGAGCTGTGGATACAGTCGTGGCTGTGAAGACCCCCTACTCTGGAGGATGGGCAGGGTCATATTCCCCATCCAGAGCCAGGTGGACACTTGGAGGCCCTCAGGAAGCCAGCCCTGCCCGGAGGATGGATGTACAGTAGCCATGCTGGCCAGGAGAGCGTTAACCAGCCCCCAGCCATTGCATAACCAAGGACATGGAAGGCACTAGGTCAACGATGTGGAAAAAACAGAATCACACATACACAAACATAATAAGGCACTCTTTGTATCGGGCCATCCCAGAATGCAGTGGAGCATGTGAACCAGGAGATGAAAGGATATTGTTACAGAGGAAAGTGACACTGTCCTGAAAAACAAAGGCGAGACTCTCAGCACAGCGAGCGTGGAGCGCAGAGCCATGCAGTGGTGCATGGGCCTCACCCCCACAGACACAGCTCCTGGGCTGCAGAACTCCCGGAGCAAAGTTCCCTTAACACTGCTGAGATTTAACTGGCAAGTGGTAAGTTTGACAGGCAGAAGAAGGGAAGAGAAATATTTGGAGAGATTTAGCTGTGAGCTCCCTAAACCTTCTCTAACAAAGGGGAAGCAAATAGGTGAGGTGACAGGCAAATTGGAAAAGGGTACCGAGGCCTCTAGAGTAAAGACAAACACAATGAGGAATGTTTGAAAGAGAACTTTTGCTCTTCTGCTCTAATGCTTAGCATACAATATAGTGTTTTCCACAAAGAAAAAGCTACAGATTCTTTCATGCAGAGCTTTAGCAATAAAAGTCAGTAGTGTCTCATCTAATCTGATTGGGAAGAGATGCTGTACCCTGTATTTGGCCAAACCATCCAAGCATGGAAAGTCTGCGTCACTTCGACGTACAGCCCAGCTTCCAGGAGAACAGAGAGAGAAGGTGGAGAAGTAGCAGCTCAGACCTGGCTGTTATTTTGTGCACTGCTGTACATTTCTCCAGCCCTGGTGCTGACAGCAAGATGATAAAGCTGAACTGGGAACCTCACAGAGAAGCACCATCCTGAGGATATGTGGAAGCTGATAGGGAGTCACAGCACAAACCGCAGGCGCTGCCATATGAACCCTGGCTCCCACTGTTCTAAATCAAAAGTCTAAACCACAGGCTGCCCAAGATATATGATTCAGGGGAAGACAGCAGCAAGATTAGCATAGCTGCTTCCTCCATCCCCTTCTCAAAGGGGAACAAGAGCTGATGGTAAAGGAAAAATACTTTAAAAAAAGTGTGGGATAGAGCAGGAACCTTTCTTCAGCAAAAGGACAAAGGAAAAAAATAACCTAACTTTTTCCCTTCTTAAAAATTCCCGTAGTGCAAGTGTTTCTCCAGCCCTTGCTGTAGATGTTCTTCCACCTCTTCTAGCCAGGGGCTATGCTGCTTGCTGAATATTCACTGATAAGGAAAAAAACAGTGAATTTTTATCTCTTAGAGATAAACAGGACAGGAGAAAGCCACAGGAGGAGCTGCAATCCATCACCGTGACAAAACTAGAGGACAGAGAACACACAGCATGACCACACCAGCAGAACAACATGGCAGAGGAGCAGCCCAGACCCAGGTGCCTCTTCCTCCACCACAGCACTAACTTCTCCAAGAAGATCAACATGGGAGGATGGAGTGTGGGAGAACCCTTCAGCAACCCAAATGTCGTGCTGAGGTCAGAAGCTCTTCACAGGAAGCAGACTCCCAGTATATAGAGGAAGGATCCCTTAACAAAAGGATGTTTTCAGATGTAACCTTTCAGAATAGTTTCCTCAGTTTTCCAGCCAGCTGATGGTGTTTCTTCCAGCTCAGGGGAAAGAGTTTCCGCTTTATCAGTCCTTCCTGTTGGCTTCCTCTCTATAACCCCTGACATCGAAGTGACATTAACGTCAAACCAAAAGGTGCATGAGTTGATGGAAATTCTGTCTTGAGCACAAACAGCTCCGTCACTCTCAGTCCCTCCTGAAAGGGGACCAGGTAAAGCTGCATTTTCCTCTACATCTGTCACCACAATTGGAGTAGTTTTCAGCTGAATGAATACAGCTGAAAAAGAGGAGGACTTACTGTTTAGAATGGGAAAATAGTTGCCTACACTGCAGACTTCTGCTAGAAACGTTACAAATCCCAAGTAAGTCAGCTCTGCCATGTGGACCTGCCTTGGAACAAGCCTGCTCCATAGGGCAAGACTGGAAGGCTGAATCACCCTGTCAGGTGTCTACATCCCTTCTCTCTGTGCTGCCAAAATGCTCGGGTCATCTTCTGTTGAATTCTGGGAGAACGTGTCTGTCTTCTTCAGAGGAGACCAAGCAAGATACCATCCCAAGAGATGACAGGTACTTGAGATCTGGTCTCCAGTTCTGGGCTGGAGCAACTAGGTCTCCTTCAAAACACAACTGGAGACTAAGTAAAAGGGAAGTAGGTTAGGACATGACCTGAATAAAAGCCCAGGTTAACACCACCATGCAGACATGTCTTTAGGCTTCCTTTAATTCTGCATTTACAAATACTGTGGCTATCTTGAGGATGGACACTGTGGGAAGAGCAAGCCAAAACATTTACTTTGTCTCAGAGGCATGTCTCTTCCTCCAGCCATGCTGCCCTCCCTGGACAGGCAGCTCTGCAGGATGAAGGAATAACCTCCCCACAGTGCAAAAGAGAGTGAAAGAGAAACTGATGGCCCTAGAGAGCATGTCCCAGTTAGCCACAAAAAAGGAACAGTGAGGGCAGCAACGTTGCCTTCTATCACACAGCACAGCAGTCCACAGGAGTGAGTGCAGTTCATCCTTCAGAGGCATTTGCCTCCACGTTCTCAGGAAGGATATTGATTAGAAGAAATTCTTACAAGGTCTTGCGTGACCTGAACATCTGTTTATTAGAAACCAGCAGCAGTGACTCATTTTCAAACAAACATGGTTTCAGGCTCTGCATGAGCTCAACTTCTAAGCCAACATTGTCTCTTGATCCAGCACAAAGAGAAGGGGGTGGCCCATTGTCTCTCCCATAGCACAGGCAAGAAAACAGGGAGGGAACAATCCAAAACATCCCTGCTGATCAGTCTGGTTTCTCCTCAATGTCTCTTGTGCTTTGGAAAGTGGTGATTTCTGCTGTAGGTTTCTGCCTGTGCTTGCGAGGCAGCGAGATGCCTACCCCAGCCCCAGCCGGCTGCTGTGTTCTGCAGAACAGAACTGGAGCCTGTGTTTCTTTATTAGCAAGACGTTGCCAGAAGCCAGAGAGTTCACATCTGACTCAGAACTTCCCCAAAGTTTGAGGACATGCAGATCTTCTTCCCAACCCCCTTCTAAAATCCACATCCAGTGCAATCTGGATCCTGTCCCAGCAAGTTGATTTTTTTGGGGAAATCACTTAACTCAGGCTCAAACTAAGAACTAATGACCAACTCTCTAAATTGCTTCACGCAGCAGCCACTGGTTTCTAAGGGGTGTAAAGCACTAACAGAAGACAAGACCATCACCACTCCGCCACATTTGCCCTTTCCGTGCTCTTACCTTTGAGTAGGTTTTTCCGCCCTTCAGCTCCTATAATGGGAGACAAAACAAACAGGAAAAGCAGCTATTATACGTGCTGGGGAAAGAGGGGGAAAGCCATTACTCAATCCTGGAATTTGCTCTCAGGATTTCACAAATCTGTGTCTCTCAGGGGTTACCACCACCCTGGTCGCCCCCCACCTCCATCAAGCACCCTTGCTGGGGAGAGAGGCCCCATTTGAGTCACATCCCAGCCCAAACAATCCTTCTTTCCCACCACTTCCATCCAATTCCTCTTGTTGCCAAAAAAGCTGCTAGTAACCAAGAGCAGGGCACTGGCAGTACTGCCTGTCAGAAGCAGAAGTAGATGCTCACCTTACGGACAGATACTCGGCAGACGCAGGGGTCCAGGAGGCCTGTGGCTGGGTTGGCACTCATTTTACACACAAAGGTGAATTTCTTTTTCCAGCGGACACAGTTTTCCTGAACTTCCTCTCTATGAGAATGCAAAAAAACAAACAAAACACTCTTCAAATAAAGGCATGAAACCAAATCAATCTTTTTTTTGATGACTGGCAACCTGGCCTATAAAGGTCGTCTACAACAGAGTTTGATCCACACCACCTGAAACCGCACCACACAAAGGTGCTGTGTCAGCATCAAGCTTTCCACTAGTCAGTACAGGTAAAATCCACCTAGGTTACAGGAAGACTAATCAACTCATCAACTGAGTTTTCCTTTAAAACTCTCCCACATTTCCTGCTTAGCTGGTTTAACTCACTCATCGTCCGGCCCGGACAGAGCCAACCTCCGTAACAGAACTGGGCTGAAGGTTTGCAAGTTTATCTTCCTACAATATGCCTGTTTTGTACAATCTCTGTACAACAAACGCGCTGTGTGTCCTGGACGGCTTGTCCTTCCCAGGCTGCCATCCTGCTTCTTATGCTGGGACTAAGCCAGTGAGGACAGCCAGGTTGAAGGAGGACAAAAAAGCATGTGGGAATGTTGCTGGGTGCACACAGACAGGACCATGCCAAGCAAACACTGTGCTCCAAATCACAGGGGGAGATTAGACTGTAACAACAGGAGCAGTCCCAGCCAGGGAGGAGGCAGTTTTCCTTGCACAGCCCCTCACCAGCCTACCTGATCTCCAGGGTGAGCAGAGAAGTGCATGGAGAAGGTGGCTTCCCCAGTGCAGGAATTGCTTCAGGTAGAGCTCTGGATTCTCCTGAGCCCTTAGGGGAAACTGGATTTCACCCTTCAAAGGAGTCAAGTTCAGATGAGCCCGAAACCTGCTGTGTGGGTCCTTCCATGGGGCTCTGGTTCCCCACTGTCCCTCTGCAGGACCTGATCTGTTCACGGCTCAGAGCTTGGTCCTTAGCCAATTAAGTTCTCAAGTAATGAGGCCAGGGGGGAAGGAGGGAAGGGAAGGCACTTTTGACAGCTATGAGCCAGCAAATTTGCATCTCGCTCTTATCTCTCCTCTTAGCACAGGACAAAGGGGCAAGGGCAGGCGATAAAGTGTTTGCTTTAGCAGGGAAAGGGAGGCTTCCCACCATCTGGCCCAGGCGCCGTGCAAGCCAAAGAGATCGGTGGCAAAGGGGAGAACCATGTGTCTTGGTATTGCCTCAGCTCTCCTGGGAAGGAAGGGGTAGAAGCCAGCCCTGATCCCAACAAACCCATCTGCAAGCCCAAGATGAGCCCAACAGGACAGATCCCAGGGATGGGATCCTGACCCAGGAGGACCCTGCAGTCCTCTGAGCTCTTCGGTGGGACCTGAACGTGCCGGCCAAGGCAAACACAGAGAGGAGAACAGGATTTGCTAACAAATAACTGAAACCTGTAATCCCCTGTAATGCAGATAAGGGCTGATCATCCCTGTCAAAAACATGGGAAAACAGAAGGCAGCAATTGCTTCAAGGGAGTGAACTTAAACCCCTTCCAGACAGCACTAAGGCTAGCTATGGAAGTCATTGGAAAGTGAGGCATCTAAGTGCCAAAAGTACCTTTGAATCTGGGATCAATTCAAGATGAGATCTGGTTCTCATTGCTCAAGTCACTCCAGCTCCTTCAGAGAGGAGAAGAAACACTTCCAGAGGGATTAAAAAGGTAGTGAACTTAAACCCCTTCCAGACAGCACTAAGGCTAGCCACGGAAGTCATTGGAAAGTGAGACATCTAAGTGCCAAAAGTACCTTTGAATCTGGGATCAATTCAAGATGAGATCTGGTTCTCATTGCTCAAGTCACTCCAGCTCCTTCAGAGAGGAGAAGATACACTTCCAGAGGGGTTAAAAAGGCTTTGCTTATAATAAAACATTCACTGAGCCAGCCAAATTAGGCAAGCTAAATTTCAGATGTGAGGTGCCTTAAACCTGATTTAGTAGTAGGTATCTTGAATGACCTAAAGGAAGGAAAACTCAGACACTGATGAAAAAAGGAATTCAACAGAACAGAAAAATGTTTGGAACACACATGCTTTGGAAATGCAAGAAAGGTACTTGGATGCAGAAGATATCCAATACTTTAGCAGCATCAGTCATCTTTAAAAAGGAACCCCTATTTTCGAGAGAGCAAGGCTAATGCTAATTCTGCTAATGACACCAGATTTTAGCAGCATTAGTCATCTTTAAAGAGGAACCCCTATTTTCGAGAGGAGAGCCTTGGCTAATGCTAATTCTGCTAATGACACCAGAGCTTCAAGCTGAATCCTGGAAGGCAGCTACAAGCAGTCAGTCTTCGGATCAGACGGGTACAACAGCCCTTGCTACAAACCTTGTTCACACGTGGCCCAGAGCTCTAACTCCTGTTACAAGTGACTATTTAAGTGACAAAGCTCGGGCTCCAAACTCCCATCACATGTGCCTTGGTCCCCGCAGCTGCTCCGTCAGTAGGATGGGCAAGAACTGCTCCAGCACGAGAGTCTCCTTACTCATGAGTTCTCGCTCGTATCACAATGCGGCTATGATTAAGCATCTGCTGGATGCTGCTAAGTCCAATGATGGCTAATTACTTCAAAGCATGGCAAAAAGTACTGATTAGTAATAGAGCTCCTTCATAGCTAATTTGCTGTTAGCATAAGCTCTGCTAACAGACATTCTCCTTCTTATTAAGGATGTATGTTGGCTTTCCAGAACTGCTGTAGATGCCACACGGTGCAAGGGATTAGGAGAAGGATTTGGGGGGGTTATGTTACCCACAACACGGCGAACACGAACCCGAGCTGCAGGTGCACGCGTAGCTGGGGGCTTTTTATGTCTTCAGAATAGTCTGCACAGAGCGGAAAGGAGTTTACAAGATAAAATTCAGAGCTGCTTTCCAGTCACCAGTTTCACAATCATTCAACAATGACTTTCAACTTCATTTTTCACTTTAAAGAGTGGCTTTTAAGGGTGGGGGCTGAGTCTGTATTGTCAGCTGAGCAAGCGACAGCACTATTGTTTCAAGTCAAACTCTAAAATATTAGTTCCACATTTCCAGAAGATGGCATGTGGGGAAGCGATGGGCTTTGTCTATCCACCTCCCACCAAGCTATCGTTAGGCTGGTAATTAGAGAACACTAAAATAGGAGAAAAAAGTGGACTCAGATGAAGAGCAGTTTTGCATTTAGCCCTAGAATATTCTCTGATGTACAATTAGGAACCATCACACAGAAACCAAAAACACACAAGAAGCGTGGTGAGGGCTGCACCGAGAGGCGTTTCCTTCCATCCTAATCACAAGGCACCTAAAAACAAAGCAGAAACGAACAGCTTAAAACCAGAAGTGTCTAATTTTAAGCTTTACTCTGTATTTGGAGAGCCAGAAATAGATCAGATCAATGCCTGGTACTAGGTGCCAATTCAACGGGTCTTCAGAAGTTTTATTTTGAAAAAGCCGTCTGTACCATTTTGCAGAAAGACTCCCAGAAGGTTGAATCCCTGCCAAGCTAAGCTTTGCCCTCTTCTGACTCGAGACTTATTCAAAGCTGTGTAATTACTCTTCTAGACCTAAATATACCTCCTCAGAATAAACTGATGCAACTCTGCAGCAGCTTTTGTGAAAAGCGGAGTTTCAGAAAGAGCTTCTTGGGGTCCTCCAAGCCCAGAGCTGCTCACCTACCTCCAGCTCCTTCCCCAGCCAGAAGGGACAGTTTACTGCATCCCCCAGCCACCATCCTACCCCTTGTACCAGAAAAAAGAGCCATTAGATGATGTTTCACCACAGCATGGTTTGAATCTAAGTAACAGGAAGGATGCACAGTGGCAACGCACTGGTTTAGCTACTTTGACAGAAGTAGCCGTGTGCTTGGTGAAGCCACCACGGCCTCCCCGGGTTTGTATCTCACGTTCAGCCTTCGTGCAGCTCTGGAGATGGGTGGAGGAACACACAACAAACAGATTTTAGAGAAGAGATGTTTACCAACGCTGATTTTAGTGCCATGGACAGAGTAGCACTGTTGCAGAAAGCGACAAAGCTCACCGTGAATGTAAGTTAGCTAAAGCAAACACTTCTAGGAAAAGGCCACGTATTCTACCCGTGCTATCTTGGGCTGCTGCAGGCCTCTGTCCCACATGAAAACCTAGCGAATCAAACACCAGAACAGAGATTAAAACTTCTATTTACAGACTCAAAGCTGAGTTGCGCCCAACTGGGTATCGCGCTTCAATCACACAACTCGCTGAAGTGGTTTTGCCTTGCTGAAACGTTTAGAAAAGCAGATTTTTCACTCTTACTTTATGGCAGCAGTCACACATAAGACAGTTAAAAGTACGAAGCATCATAAAAAGGCCACAGGCTCACTGGGAGGGCAACAACAACAAAAAATAGCTCTCTAATGCCAAACATTTCAGTAGAGCAACGTGTCTTAGTCTGATGTTTCACGCACGGGAGCAGATGTGGGAAAACCTCAGGCTAAATGAGACAGTATATAGATAAGCACACACAAAGAGCTTCTTATTCAGATTTCCTCCTCCTCATCTGCACAAAAGGGAAGGGCAGGCTTTCCTGTTTCTGACTCCCGTTCCACATGCTCACTGTCCTCCCTTCTCGGAGATGTAGATCTGTGTCAGACCCTTCAAGCAGAACTAATCCTCCTGCCTGCTCTGCATCCTCCTCGCTGCTTCACCAGCGCGCACAAGGAGCGCGGCATCACCGAAGCAGCACCTCGATTTGATAAGGCACAAGAAAGATAACAGCATTTTACAGAGGCCAAGGAGCCACGTCCCAGCTCAGGTTCATTTAAGTGCAACGGATTGGAAAGCAGCCCTCAAAGGCGCCCTGACACACTCCAGCAGTGGGTCTTTAGGGGGAGGAATGTAACAGCATCACAGCGAGGCAGATACAATCCCCTCAATCACAGAGGGAAGAAAAGACAGAAAAAATTAAGTTATTTCAGCAGATTGCAGCTAAAGGGCATCTTCTACAGCATTTCTTTACGCAGCTCTGCTTTCAGCTGCGGAGACCCACCATTAAGACATCCCCATCTATTCCCAAGCACTTCCGAAGGCTGAATTAGA